AAATACTAGCCCTATAACGGCAGTGTGACGAAAATGCAAAGTCACTTGGGATAAAAAAAGGGGGGGGGTTGTGTAGTAAGTAAAGTAATAAAAAAAAATAATAAAAATAGAAAAAGGAAAAATAATGGAAAGACTAACAGTGTCGTATACAAGATTTTTCCATAGTTATTAGATACTGCTAACGATCCTTAATTTGAAGGAAGATCATGTTTATAACCTATGACTATGCAAAATGATTATCACATCTATGGTTACTCTCTCTCTCTCTCTCTCTCTCTCTCTCTCTCTCTCTCTCTCTCTCTCTCTCTCTCTCTCTCTCTCTCTCTCTCTCTCTCTCTCTCTCTCTCTCTCTCTCTCTCTCTCTCTCTCTCTCTCTCTCTCTCTCTCTCTCTCTGAGAGCTGTGTGGTGCAGCGGTAGCGATCTCGTCTAGCAATCTTGCTGACCTGCGTTCGAATCCCTCGCCACCAGTGGATGGTAACCCCGGCCATTCCTTGCACACAGGGGATAATTTAGAAGCAAAATAAAACAGACTCTCTCTCTCTCTCTCTCTCCCTCCCTCCCTCCCTAGCTCCTTCCCCTCCCTCCCTCCTTCCTTCTCTCTCTTTCTGTTTTTGTTCTTCAGAGCGAATGCAGTTATCGCAACGTGCAGGTGTTCGTTCACAAAGGTCTGGGTGGTGCTGGGTGAAGTTCTTGGCCGGAACAAAACCAGCTGCCTCCAACGAGTATAAGACTTGTGTTGTCGTTTCTTTTAACTTTTCCTGGTTCCGGGTCATCCGTTAGGCACCGAGTTACGTCGCAGCTACCAGTGTTTTTTTTGTTTTTTTTTTAGTTGAAAGAGAGATAGAGAGTGAGTGAGTAAGTGTGCGTGCGTGTGAGAGAGAGAGTAAGATAGATAGAGAGAGAGAGAGAGAGAGAGAGAGAGAGAGAGAGAGAGAGAGAGAGAGAGAGAGAGAGAGAGAGAGAGAGAGAGAGAGTGGGTGAGTGAGTGAGAGTGATAGAGTGAGAGAGAGAGAGTGTGTGTGTGTGTGTGTGTGTGTATGTGAGAGAGTGAGTGATGATACAGAGAGAAAGGGAGACAGATGGACAGACAAACAGACTCAGAGACAGACATTGAGAGACATAGTGTATTCTTTTCCCCCTAAAACCAGTACACGGACCCAATGATGCCGAGACAACCTTGACTGAATCTCCCTCACCGTTAGTAGAGCTGTGTAAATTAAGCTAGAGTTTCCGATACCCTGAAAGTCCTTGCACTGTGGTACAATAACCTTCTGTGGTGTATGCAAAATGTTGACTAGCCGCGTTTTTAATATTGCTTTACGTAACTAGCCTGGCTGGTTTTCGTATACTGGAAATTCAGCGGACAGCTGAATAATCACTGAAAGTTGTACAGCACGTGAATTTGCTACCTATGACATAAATAATCGATTTATTTATTTATTTATTTTTAATCAGTGATGATACAATTATTTGACATTCAAAAACGTCCGAATTACAAAAACATAAATTCCATTCCCTAAAATATGAGAAAAAAACACACCCTACCTAAAAATAAATAAATGAATAAATCAGTTCAGTCCCGCAGACATTAACAAACTTTCTCATAATTTATTCTGTTCACTAACGATTCCGAAGCGTTGCCATGGCGACCGAACTGTTCGCTGTATCAAGCAACAAAGTTCACGACAGGTGCTTGCTATTGCGTTCTTTCGCCCCCTCACTGCCTACTTGCAAGGTGAGCAACATCATCTTAGAAGGCCGGACGGGAACTGCGCATAGAGAGGGGCACTTTTTTTTCTCTATTCACATTTCATTCTTCTTTCATTCTTTCGTCTGTCCTTTTTCTTTTCTTTCCTTTTTCTTTCTTTCTTTCTTTCTTCCTTTCGTCTCACTTTTCTTTCTTTCTTCCTTTCTTTCTTTCATCACACAATGACGGAAGGAGAACTAAGCATAGAGGGGGGGGAACTCTTTTTTTTCTTCTTCTTTCTTTCATTCTTCCTTCTTTTCCCTTTTTCATTCTTTTCCTTTCTTTCGACACCCCCATTATTTTCATTCTTTTCTTCCTTTCGTCTCTCCCTTTCTTTCTTTCTCTCTTTCATCAATGAAAACCTGGAAGGGAATCGCGCAATAATGTTGTTTTTGTTTTTGTATTGTTTCTTTTCTACGTTTGTTGTTGTTTTCTTGGCCTTCCTTTGTTTTTGTTTTGTTTTTCTTATATTTTCTTCCTTTCAGTAATTATTTATTTTATTTTATTTTATTCCTTTCTGTCTATTTATTAATTTTATATCCTTCCTCTATTTTTTCCATTTTCTTTCTTTATTTATTTATTCTTTCATTCTTTCTTCCCTTTGTTTCGTCCTTCCTTCCATTTTTTTTATTTTTTTTTATGTACTGACATGTTTTGTTTTTATTATTTTTCTTTCTATCTTTCTTTCTCTTTGATTATTGACGGCGGGACGTCCATCACCAGGCAATAAATTATATTTTTTCTCGTCGTTT